CCTCAGCTACCCTGGTACGAGTTTACCACGGGACAGGAGAAAACTATAAAGAACCCCGAGCAGGAGGAAATTACCCGAAAAATGAGGAGCATGGAGCAGAGCCTTAAAAATATACAGGGTTTGAGCGGACAAAAGAGCGTATCCTACTCGGATCTGTGTATGTTCCCACATGTACATTTACCCCTGGGTTTCAAAACCCAATGTTCGAAAACTATGACGGGCATGGGGATCTAATAGCCCACCTCAAGAGGTACTACAATCAATTGCGAGGGGCCGGTGGAAAAGAGGAGTTTCTCATGGCTTATTTTTGAGAGAGTCTAGTGGGCATTGCATCTGAGCGGTACATGGATCAGGATATATCTCGTTGGCGTATTTGGGATGATCTGGCTCAGGATTTTGTCAGACAGTTTCAGTATAATATAGACATAGCTCCCGATAGGAATTCTATGTCGAACCTCTAGAAGAAGTCCTCGGAAAGTTTCTGAGAATATGCTGTCAAATGGCACGAACAAGCGGCTAGAGTCAAGCCTCCAATGGATGAAACAGAAATGGTGAGTGTTTTTCTTCAGGCCAAGAGGCTGACTACTTTCAGAATATGATGTCTGCGATGGGGAAAGAGTTTGCTGAGGCTATCAATATTGGTGAGATGGTCGAAAATGGTCTAAAAACAGGACGCATATTGAGTCAATCTGCTATAAGGGCTACTTCCCAAGCAATTCAACGCGGGTCCGGAGGTGTAGCAAACAGAAAGAAAAAAGAAGAAGTGGCAATGGCAACTTCAAGTGTAAGAAACCCTCGTCCACCCAGACCTTACTTCCCTGCAAGAACCCCACAACATTATTATCCTCATCAGGATGTGACCTATGCTATAGCCCCTCATCCATACGCAGTAATGAACGCCCAACCATATGCTAGGCCACAACAACAGTTCAACCAAAACCGAGCTCCATTTCCTAGAAATCAACCTCCTCGCCAAGCCTAGTATAATCCCCAACCTCCACAAAATAACTTCCCCTACCATGCCCGTGCCCAGGAGCCACCCAGATTAGCAAACTTCATACCTATTGGTGAGTCATATTCTAGCCTTTTCCCTAAACTTGTCCAAATAGGTTTGTTGCAACCCCTACCCCAAACCAGGCAGAACCCAGAGTCGCCTTCTTACCGACCGGTACTCGATGTGCCTATCATTCGGGGGCAGAAGGACATGACACTGAAGACTGTTGGACTCTGAAAAGGGCGGTTGAGAATCTCATAGAGCAAAAACGGATAGTGTTGAAGGATAAATAAACTCCTAATGTGACCAACAACCCATTACTGCCCACAATAATGGACCTGTTATTGGGATGATTTGCAAAGATAAAGAGTTTGATCCCGCCTTGAAAGCCATCATTACCATAGCTGATGTTCAGAGGAAACCAAAGGCTGCTGCAAAGCAAGATAAGGGGAAGAATAAGAATGAATCCTCCCCAGAAAGTGCAGAAAAGGAATTGGAAACCAAAACTGGGGCAGTACCCCTAAAAGATGCCATTCTTTGTGTCCCACGAGGTCACAGGAAAGAGAAAAAGACATTGAGCCCTCCAAGAAGATTTGAGCTGAACAAGGGACCCAAGATGTACGTGCCTAAGGGGACCTATGTGGTACAAGGGCCAGTAATTTCACCAAGGCTGAATTAGCCCGTGGTTATTGGCCGCGCAGCGTAGAGGCCCATGATAAACCCTACTGCCGTTCCATGGAATTAGAACAAGGCGGTAGTAACTTACAAAGGAAAAGAGGTCTTAGGAGAAGCGAATGAAACTAAATCAGCTGAGAAATACCTTAACTTGGAGGATTTGAACAAAGCCAAGAAGAAACGCTTTCCGATTAAAAAATTTGCTGCCTGTTAGTGCCGAAGAAGCAGAAGAGTTCTTCCGAAAAATGAAAGTTGCGGACTATGAGGTAATAGACCAACTTCGAGAGTCTCCTTCACAGGTTTCACTCCTGCCCCTATTGGTAAGCTCAGTCGAGCTTTAGAAAGTGTTGATAAAAACTCTCAATGAGGCTTATGTCCCGATTGAAACCACTGTTGAACAGCTGGAGAGGATGGTGGAAAGATTCTTTGCGGTCAATCAGATTTCTTTTAGCAAGAATGATTTGCCTCCGGAAGGGGCCGCCTACAACAAAACCCTTCATCTGACAGTTAAATGCGAGGGTTATTATGTGAAAAGAGTCATTCTGGATGGTGGATCCGGAGTTGATATTCGCCCTCTCTAAACTTTGTAAAGAATGGAGATTGGAACTAAGAGAATCAGTCCTAAAAACGTCTGTGTGCGTGCCTTTGATGGCATCAAAAGAGACACCATAGGCGAGATTGATTTGATTTTGACTATTGGTCCTGTGGATTTCGAGGTGACCTTTCAGGTCCTAGACATGGATACTTCTTTAATTTCCTCTTGGGAACACCTTGGATTCACGCGATAGGAGTCGTACCTTCCACTCTCCACCAGATGGTGAAATTTGAATATGAAGATCGGGAGATTGTAGTCATCGGGACCCGTCAGCCCCATCTCTCGAAGCTAGGGAAGGTAATGAACATATAGTATATCAAGCTTTCGAGGTTGTGATCACAGACCAATATGAAGAAGGAAGCCCTTGCCCTCAACCTTGTCTCTCAAATGCCTCAATTATGGTCGCCAAGGAAATGATCAGGCATGGTTATAAACCCAGGAAGGGGCTCGGGACATCATTGCAAGGTATCACAGAACCTATCACCCTACCTGGCACCAAGAAGTTCTTCGGTGTAGGTTTTCGCGCCACAGAAGCTGATGTGACAATGGCAAATAAACGAAAGAGCGATGGTTGGGTGTTACCTCAGCCAATTTCGCATCTCTACAGAACATTTGTCAGGACCAAGTACAATGAAGAAGAAGAAGATGAGGCCTTCACGGCCGAGGAAATTGAAGAAATCTATGGGGCTATGAGGCAAATGTTGTACGAAACCCACATGGTTCAGCCAGGAGAAGGCTCGAGCATCGCCGAGGAGCTGCATATGGGGCCCAATGCCAAATTGCAAAACTGGAAGGCTACTCCGTTTCCAATCAGGCGGGAATCCCGGTAGTCCAGTCTTGCCACCTTTTCTACATCACGAGTTATTTCAGGGTGTATCTTGGATGTTTCTTTTAGTTTATTGTCTTTAAATTCCAATGTAAACCCTGTTATCTTCAAAATTCAATGAAATGAAATCAATATTTCATCGTTCATCTCTCTTTATTCATTCTGATTTTTGTTACCTTTTCTTATTTCCTCTTTCAGTTCTAATAATGCGGCTATAAATAACATGACATGCTTGTGGACTTCATGCCCAGATCCCGACATGCTATCTAATTGTGAAATAATGAATCAAGAACCTGAATATGATGAAGAAGAGGCTTTTAGGTAAATAAATCGAGAATTGGAACAATTTGAGAATAAACCTAAGCTGAACTTAAATGAAACCGAGCCGGTTAATTTGGGTAGTTTTGAAGAAGTCCAAGAAACCAAAATAAGCATTCACACAGATGAAAGAACTAGGGACGCATTTATCCAACTTTTGTTTGAATTCAAAGATGTGTTTTCTTGGTCTACGATGACATGCCAGGATTAAGTGTCAATTTGGTGGTCCACAAAGTGCCGACCTACCACGATTATCCCCCTGTCTAGCAAAAACAGAGGAAATTCAAAACTGATATCAGTGACAAAATTAAGGAAGAGGTCACAAAACAGTTGAAGGCGGGAGTGATCCGAGTGGTCCGATACACTACATGGCTGGCTAATGTGGTTCCCGTGCCAAAGAAAGATGGGAAGACTCGAGTGTGTGTTGACTACCTAGATTTGAACAAAGCAAGTCCCAAGGACAATTTCCCTTTGCAAACATCTACATGCTTGTTGATAACAGTGCCAAACATGAGATATAGTCTTTCATGGATTGCTATGCAGGATATCACCAGGTGTTGATGGATGAAGAGTATGCGGAAAATACAGCCTTCACCATACCCTGGGGCACCTATTGTTACAGGGTCATGCCTTTTGGTTTGAAGAATGCCGGGGCAACTTATATGAGGGCCATGACCGCCATTTTTCATGACATGATGCACCAAGAAATCGAGGTGTATGTGGACGATGTGATCGTCAAATCAAGGACACAGGACGACCACGTTCGGGACTTGAGAAAGTTTTTTGAGCGGTTGCGTAAGTATGATTTGAAGCTAAATCCGGCTAAATGGGCATTTGGGGTTCCATCTGGGAAACTCTTGGGATTTATAGCCAGTCGGAGGGTCAATGAGTTAGACCCAACAAAGATAAAGTCTATTCGGGATTTGCCTCCTCCAAGAACCAAGAAAGAGGTTATGACTCTGCTGGGAAGGTTGAACTACGTTAGCCGATTCATTGCTCAGTTGACTTCTACATGTTAACCCATCTTCAAGCTGTTAAAGAAAGATGCAGCGATTAAATGGACGGATGAGTGTCAAGAAGGCTTTGACAAGATTGAAGTATATCCGTCGAACCCGCCAGTCTTGGTCCCACCTGAACCTGGGAGGCCTTTGTTTTTGTATTTGACAGTCCTCGAAAATTCCTTTGGTTGCGTCCTAGGGCAACATGATATGACCGGAAAGAGAGAGAAGGCAATCTACTATCTGAGCAAGAAGTTTACCAGTTACGAAGCCAAATACACTTTGATGGAAAGAACTTGCTGCGCTCTAACTTGGGTCGCTCAGAAGCTTAGGCATTACTTGTTAGCCTATGCCACTTACCTCATCACCAGGATGGATCCTTTAATGTACATATTTCAAAAGCCGATGCCCATAGGGAGGTTAGCAAAATGGCAGATCCTGCTCACTGAATTTGACATAGTCTATGTCACCTGCACGGCAATGAAAGCCCAGGCTTCACCTGTCGACGAGGAATATCAGCCATTGAGCACTTACTTCCCAGACGAGGAGGTGAATTAAGTTGAGGTACCATCAGAAGATACCAATTCTTGGAAAATGTTCTTCGATAGAGCTGTAAACGCAAAAGGCATCGGAATTATCTCACCCACTGGTCAACACTATCCAGCCACAGCTCGGCTTCAGTTTTTCTGCACAAACAATACTGCTGAGTATGAGGCCTGCCTTATGGGTATGAATATGGCAATCGACCAAGATGTTGAAGAACTATCGATCATGGGAGATTGGGACTTGATTATCCGACAAGCTCAGGGTGAATGGGAAACCCAGGATGTCAAGCTTAATCCCTACAAACAACATGAGGATGATCTTGGCAAGCAGTTCAAGTCAGTTGATTTCAGGTACATTCCTCGTTTTCACAATGAGTTAGTCGAAGCACTCGCTACTTTGGCCTCGATGTTGCCTTATCCGGGCAATCTCCACATTGACCCGCTGGAAATCCAAATCCGAGAAAAGCATTGTTACTGCAATACGGTTGAGATGGAACCAAATGTTCAGCCATGGTATCATGATATCAAGAGATTTCTGAAAACGAAGGAATATCCCGAGCAAGCCAATGGAGACAAAAAGAGAACCATTAGGAGACTTGCCGACAGTTTCTTCTTGAGCGGCGAGGTCTTATATAAAAGGACTCCAGATCTCAACTTGCTAAGATGTGTGGATGCCGAAGAGGCCGAAAGAATCATGCTTGAAGTGCACGAAGGAGTGTGTGGACCCCACATGAATGGGTATCACGGAACCTATCACCCTACCTGCCACCATGAAGTTCTTCGGTGTAGGTTTTCACGCCACAGAAGCTGGTGTGACATGGGCAAATAAACGAAAGAGCGATGCTTGGGTGTTAGCTCAGCCAATTCCGCATCTCTACAGAACATTTGTCAGGCCCAAGTACAATGAAGATGAAGAAGATGAGGCTTTCACGGCCGAGGAAATTGAAGAAATATGTGGGGCTATGAGGCAAATGTTATACGAAACCCACATGGTTCATCCAGGAGAAGGCTCGAGCACCGCTGAGGTACTGTATATGGGGCCCAATGCCAAATTGCAAAACTGGAAGGCTACTGTGTTCCCAATCAGGCGGGAATTCCGGTAGTCCAGTCTTGCCACCTTTTCTACATCACGAGTTATTTCAGGGTGTAACTCAGATGTTTCTTTTAGTTTATTGTCTTTAAATTCCAATGTAAACCCTGTTATGTTAAAAATTCAATGAAATGAAATCAACATTTCAACGTTCATCTCTCTTTATTCATTCTGATTTTTGTTAGTTTTTCATATTTCTTCTTTCAGTTCTAATAATGCGGCTTTAAATAACATGACATGCTTACGGACTTCATGCCCAGATCCCGACACGCTGTCTAATTGTGAAATAATGAATCAAGAACCGGAATATGATGAAGAAGAGGCTTTTAGGTAAATAAATCGAGAATTGGAACAATTTGAGAATAAACCTAAGCCGAACTTAAATGAAACTGAGCTGGTTAATTTGGGTAGTTCTGAAGAAGTCCAAGAAACTAAAATAAGCATTCACACAGATGACAGAACCAGGGACGCATTGATCCAACTTTTGTTTGAATTCAAAGATGTGTTTGCTTGGTCCTACAATGACATGCCGAGATTAAGTGTCGATTTGGTGGTCCACAAGTTGCCGACCAACCCCGATTATCCCCCTGCCCAGCAAAAACAGAGGAAGTTCAAAACTGATATCAGTGACAAGATTAAGGAAGAAGTCACAAAATAGTTGAAGGCCGGAGTGATCCGAGTGGTCCGATACACTACGTGGCTGGCTAATGTGGTTCCCGTGCCAAAGAAAGATGGGAAGACTCGAGTGTGTGTTGACTACCAAGATTTGAACAAAGCAAGTCCCAAGGACAATTTCCCTTTGCCGAACATCCACATCCTTGTTGATAACTCCGCCAAACATGAGACACAGTCTTTCCTGGATTGCTATGCAGGATACCACCAGGTGTTGATGGACGAAGAGGATGCGGAAAAGACAGCCTTCACCATACCCTGGGCACCAATTGTTACAGGGTCATGCCTTTGGTTTGAAGAATGCCGGGGCAACTTATATGAGGGCCATGACCTCCATTTTTCATGGCATGATGCACCAAGAAATCGAGGTGTATGTGGATGATGTAATCAACAAATCCAAGACACAGGTCGACCATGTCCGGGACATGAGAAAGTTTTTTGAGCGGTTGCGTAAGTAAGATTTGAAGCTAAATCCGGCTAAATGTGCATTTGGGGTTCCGTCTGGCAAACTCTTGGGATTTATAGTTTGTCGGAGGGGCATCGAGATAGACCCAACAAAGATAAAATCTATTCGGGATTTGCCTCCTCGAAGAACCAAGAAAGAGGTTATGAGCTTGCTGGGAAGATTGAACTACATTAGCCGATTCATTGCTTAGTTGACTTCTGCATATGAACCCATCTTCAAGCTGTTAAACAAAGATGCAGCGATTAAATGGACGGATGAGTGTCAAGAAGCCTTTGACAAGATCAAAGAATATCTGTCGAACCCGCCAGTCTTGGTCCCACCTGAACCTGGGAGGCCTTTGTTTTTGTATTTGACAGTCTTGGAAAATTCCTTTGGTTGCGTCCTAGGGCAACATGATGTGACCGGAAAAAGAGAGCAGGAAATCTACTATCTGAGCAAGAAGTTTACCAGTTACGAAGCCAAATACACTTTGTTGGAAATAACTTGCTGCGCTCTAACTTGGGTCGCTCAGAAGCTTAGGCATTACTTCTTTGCCTATACCACTTACCTCATCACCAGGCTGGTTCCTTTAAAGTACATATTCCAAAACTCGATGCCCACAAGGAGGATAGCAAAATGGCAGATCCTGCTCACTGAATTTGACATAGTCTATGTCACCCGCACGGCAATGAAAGCCCAGTCTTTAGCAGATCATCTAGCTGAAAACCCTATCGACGATTAATATGATCCATTGAGCACTTACTTCCCATACGAGGAGGTGAATTCAGTTGAGGTACCATCAGAATATACCAATGCTTGTAAAAATGTTCTTCGATGGAGCTGTAAACGCAAAAGGCGTCGGAATTGGGGCAATTTTGATCTCACCCACTGGTCAACACTATCCAGCCACAACTCGGCTTCGGTTTTTCTGCATAAACAATACTGCTGAGTATGAGGCCTGCATTATGGGTATGAATATGGCAATCCACCAGGATGTTGAAGAACTATTGATCATAGGAGATTCGGACTTGATTATCCGACAATCTCAGGGTGAATGGGAAACCCAGGATGTCAAGCTTATTCCCTACAGACAACATGTGGAAGATCTTTGCAAGCGGTTCAAGTCAGTTGAGTTCAGGTACATTCCTCGTTTTCACAATGAGTTAGCCGATGCACTTGCTACTTTGGCCTTGATGTTGCCTTATCCGGGCAATCTCTATATTGACCCGCTTGAAATCCAAGTCCGAGAATGGTATCATGATATCAAGAGATTTCTGAAAATGAAGGAATATCCCGAGCAATGGAGACCAAAAGAGAACCATTAGGAGACTTGCCGGCAGTTTCTTCTTGAGTGGAGAGGTCTTATATAAAAGGACTACAGATCTCAACTTGCTAAGATCAGTGGATACCGAAGAGGCCAGAAGAATCACGCTTGAAGTGCACACAGGAGTGTGTGGACCCCACATGAATGGGTACGTCTTGGCAAAGAAAATCCTCCAAGCGGGCTATTACTGGATGTCTATGGAAAAATATTGCTTCATCTTTGTCCGGAAATTTCATCAGTGTGAGGTACACGGTGACCTGATTCATGCACCGCCTACAGAACTGCATCCTATGTCAGCACCGTGGCCATTTGTTGCCTGGGGTATGGACGTCATTGGGCCGATCGAGCCAAAAGCTTCAAATGGGCATAGATTCATATTGGTCGCTATTGACTACTTCACAAAGTGGGTTGAAGCAATTACTCTCAAACCTGTCACCAAGAAAGCTATGGTAGACTTCGTACACTCCAATATCATCTGCCATTTTGGTATTCCTGCAACTATCATTACGGATAATGCTGCAAATTTGAATAGTCACTTTGATGAGGGAGATAAGTGTGCAGTTTAAGATCACACATCGAAATTCTACCCCTTATCGGCCCAAAGCCAATGGTGTTGTCGAAGCAGCAAACAAAAACATCAAGAAGATTTTAAGAAAGATGATCCAAAGTTCCATGCAGTGGCATGAAAAGTTGCCGTTTGCGTTGTTGGGATATCGCACTATTGTGCGCACATCAGCCGGAGCAACCCCGAATCTTTTGGTTTATGCCACTGAAGCCGTGATACCCGCAGAAGTTGAAATCCCTTCTCTTCGGTTCATTGTTGAAGCTGAAATTGAGGACAATGAGTGGGTCAAAACCCGTCTGGAACAGTTAACTCTGATGGATGAAAAGCGATGGCCACAGTCTGCCACCGATAGTTGTATCAACAAAGAATGGCCCATGCCTACAACAAGAAAGTGCGGCCCAGGAACTTTGAAGTGGGGCAACTCGTTTTGAGGCGTATTCTCCCTCACCACCAGGAAGCAAAAGGAAAGTTTTCTCCAAATTGGAAAGGTCCATACATTATAAGAAAATTGCTGCCAAAAGGGGCGTTGTACCAGGGTGACATTGAAGGAAATGACCCCGAAACAGCTGTCAATGCAGATGCAGTCAAAATGTATTATGTTTAGTCTTTCTGCAGCAACAACATTATCCGATTGGGATGACGAAGGCTTTCGTTCTCGCTACCCCAAACACTCCAATCCTTTGCTACCCCTTTGAGCCGGTTACCTTTCTTCATTACCCTATTTGGAACCCGAAAACATTTGTAATAAAAGGAAGAAAAGAAAAATAACAAAAACAACAAAAACAAAAGTTTTCCCTGAACTACGTTCGACTTGATTCCGAAAGGATACGTAGGCAGCATCTCTCTGGGGTTCAGTCATACCAAAACAAAAATGCAATTCCCAAAAAAAAAATGAAACTGGGGCAGATGTTATAATGGTTCGGCGGTGATCCTGCCTGAATGGTTCCAAAGTTGTAATTCGATCCAAATTCCTTTTACCCACACCTTGTTCAAGTCCTTCCGATCAATCGGTGAAAGATGTTCAAAATCAGAGAACGCAGTTGTTTGAACCCGATGCAATCAAGATAAGAGAAAAAAAATGAGAGAGTCTTATTGGTGAAAACCTACGGGCATCGTAAGGCGATGGTGAGCAGAGAAATTGAAATGAGAGAGTCTTTTTAGTGAAAACTCGTAAAGAGCACTATAAGGCGACGGTGAGAAGAGAAATGAGAGAGGTCGATTGGCGAAAACCCGAAAAGGGCGCCGTTGATCGGAAAGAAGGAATCCCTCACCACCATTGGCACTGAAAGAGTCCTGGCAAGGTTTCTCGATTTTAAAACACAGGTCGTAATGGGTTTATGAGAAGTTGGATAGTTGTGCAGATCGAGTATCTAGTCCAAGAAGTATGTCACGTCTATTGAAGTCTGCATGCACTCCAGATAAGTCCTTCTGTCCTCCCCGAAAGGGACACTTCTCTTTAAATTCACTTTCTTGTCCTTTGTTTGTTTTTCTTTGAATCCCTTTCGGCCTAACTCTGTCCTGAAACTAATACAAAGAAAAGGTGGCAAGATTGGTTTTACAGGGTTCTGCTTAATAAAAGCCAAATCCAAAGAAAAGCAACCAGCCCCAGCGGGCGCATCAAGTCAATCCCGACTGGCCATGATGGCCGATGCTCTAAAGTCAAAATTATTGAAAATAAAAGAAATCCAAAGTCAAGTGCCCATAGAGGCAGAATAAGATGAAAGGGCCAAAGCCCCATACGGTTGAAATGTCATGTGAAATTTTGGAAAGTTGAGTTCCTCGTTTTAGAAGAAAGATCAATCTTCAGAAAGCCAGCAAGCAACAGAGGTTCTCATTAAAAGAGTTGGGCCGAGATCAAGTGATCAAAAAAAATGAAGGCCACAAATCCAGCCACCATTTCAAACTAACAATTGTTCTTTGTTTGGAAACCTGAAACATGTGCAATTCAAAGCAACCATGCACGAAGCGGGTGCAGCCAAAAGAAAATGCGCAAGGGCTAAAAACAACTTTGCAGCAACGATCCATAAAGGGAAGTCCCCTCCAAACTCTTTCATACATAATACTCATTCCATGAAATAAAAAGAGAAAAAAAAAGAAAAATGAAAAAATGAAAAAAAATAGAGATAAAAAAAAATTCAAAAAAAAGGTAGCTTAGGACCCCCAATCTCAATTTTTACGCTTTTCCAACATAGGGTATCCACTCCCTAGTTGAGTTTATTTTTTAGACATAGGGTCTCCACTTCCCAGTCGCCTTTTGCCAACATAGGGTCTCCACTCTCTAGTTGAGTTTATTTTTAGACATAGGGTCTCCACTCCCTAGTCGCCTTTTGCCAACATAGGGTCTCCACTCCCTAGTTGAGATTATTTTAGACATAGGGTCTCCACTCCCTAGTCGCCTTTTGCCAACATAGGGTCTCCACTTCCTAGTTGAGATTATTTTAGATAGAGGGTCTCCACTCCCTATTCGCCTTTTGCCCACATTGGGTCTCCACTCTCTAGTTGAGTTTATTTTTGGACATAGGGTCTCCACTCCCTAGTCTCCCTTTGCCAACATAGGGTCTCCACTCCCTAGTTGAGATTATTTTACATAGGATCTCCACTCCCTAGTCGCCTTTTGCCAACATAGGGTCTCCACTCCCTAGTTGAGATTAT